TTAAAAAAATACCATTTTTTAAAAAAGTATGTTAACTATGTTGTATTTGGGTTAACTATGTTGTATTAGGGTTTAGTTTTGAAAGTTTTAAGGGTCAAAACATTTTTTAGGGTTTATAATTTTAAAATTTAAGTTTTAAAAATCTATAATTTATGGCATTTTTGCAAATGAACACCCCTAAATGGTATTATTGCAAATATACACTCCTAACGTGATATTTTTGCTTCGAAGCGAATTTAAATTTTGACACTCTCTACCTCTTCATCATACTCACGGAACTAGAATATTATCCTTTTCAATAGGCTTCATTTTTCGAACCCTACACATAATCTGCAGACATTTCAAATAAATAGTAAAAATCAATTAATAAAAAATGTATTTAGCTAGGAATAAAATTTGAATAATATAAAACACAAATACATATTTTTCTTATAAAAACTAAACTTTTTATTAATTAAATTATATGTATTACATTATTATTTCAAAAATTGAGTGCTAACTTACATAAATATTTTTAATAAATCTATTTCTAAAAGTAGTACATAAAGGTTATAAACTTATATTATGCTATCTAGTTCTATAAGTACAACATCTTTATGTAGTACTTTTAAAAATATTTATACACTACACAAGCTACAAAATTTTCCTAGCATCAAATACTATCAAGTCCAAAAGTAGACGTCATGAAAATCGAGCTGGTGTTTATACCATCGCCCGGAATCGGCCATATGAAATCGACGACTGCCATAGCAAAGCTTCTGATAGACAGCGACGACCGTGTCTCCGTCACTCTCATCGTCATCCCTTCACAATTCTCCGGCGACAAACCTTCCTCTAACGTCTCTTCCGTCTACACGGAGTCCAAAGGCCGTCTACGCTACTGCCTCCTCCCCACCGGAGATCAACCAACGGAGCAGACCTTCATTTCTTACATAGATAGCCGTAAACCGCTCGTGAGAGCTATCCTGTCTGGGCTCACCCACGAGGTTTCGACAAATCCTGACAAATCTCGGCTCGCTGGGATTGTCGTGGACATGTTTTGTACGTCGATGATAGACATCGCGGATGAGTTTGGTCTCCCGGCGTATACCTTCTACACGTCGAACGCTTCGTATCTTGGACTACAGTTCCACGTTCAGTCTCTTTATGACGAGAAGAAACTCGATGTAAGTGAGTTAAAGGACTCGGACGAGAAGTTTGACGTTCCTACTCTGACTCGGCCTTTTCCGGCGAAGTGCTTACCTTCCGTGATGTTAAGCAAAGAATGGTTTCCTTACGTTTTGAATCGAGCGAGAAGTTTTAGAGACACGAAAGGTATTTTGGTAAACTCGGTGGCGGAGATGGAACCTCAGGCGTTGAAGTTTTTTTCCGATGGGAATATGAATACTCCTCCGGTTTACGCGGTGGGACCGGTTTTGGAGTTCAAAACTGATGGCAAAGATTTCGGCGATGAGAAGAGAAGTGAAATCTTGCGTTGGCTAGATGAGCAACCGTTGAGTTCGGTTGTGTTCCTCTGTTTCGGGAGCATGGGAGGCTTCAGTGAGGAACAAGCGAGAGAAATAGCAGTAGCGCTCGAGCAGAGCGGCCATCGGTTCCTATGGTCGCTCCGTCGCGCTTCTCTTGTGGGAGACATGACTGGATGTCCTCCCGGAGAATTCAAGAACTTGGAGGAGATTCTCCCGGAAGGGTTTCTTGATCGTACGGTGGAGATTGGAAAGATCATTAGCTGGGCTCCACAAGTCGCTGTTCTTGAGAGTCCTGCGATAGGAGCGTTCGTGACGCACTGTGGATGGAACTCAATACTCGAGAGTTTGTGGTTCGGTGTTCCTACGGCTGCGTGGCCGATTTACGCCGAGCAACAGTTTAACTCGTTTCATATGGTGGAGGAGCTTGGTTTAGCGGCGGAGATACGGAAGGATTACCGGAGAGATTTTTTGAGTGGTACGGTGGAGATTGTGACGGCTGAGGAGATTGAGAGAGGGATCAAGTGTGCGATGGAGCAGGATAGTAAGATGAGGAAGAGGGTCAAGGAGTTGAGGGATAAGCTCCACGTAGCGTTGATGGACGGTGGATCTTCGAAAGCTGCTCTACGTAAGTTTGTTCACGACGTCGTCGAAAATATTCCATAATAATTTTCTTTGTTCTTATGTTTTTGTGATTAATTAATAATGGGAAATTCCGTAAAACGTATGATTGAAAGAATGAAGAATAAAAAAAAATCACCAATGTTTGAAAATAACAAAGATAGCTTCCCCTGATTTTTATCTCTTCGATTTGAAGTTCTCTCTCCTTTAATTTTAAATACTGTATGTTGTTTGTTTGAAATAAAATATTGTACGAATATCTCTTAACCATCGTAAGAGCATGTTCTCAATAGTAGAACTCGTGGGATTCTAACCAATTTGTTTATTATATATTTTACATCATTGTAATTTAAAACTCTTTCAATAGATTTTAATTTACCTCCAATAGTAGAATCTATTAGAGGATTCTTAATAAAAAAAATATGAAAATTATTTTATTTTAAGTAGAATTTATTTTCTCAAACTTTATAAACATAGTACATTGAATAAAACGAAAAATATATTGCATTTAATAAATTTCAAAAATACATGACATAAAAATATTTTATTTTAAATAGAATTTATTTTCTCAAAATTTTTTTGCGTTGTCCAAAAAATAATCGACGAATCACACGGTAACACATGACA